GGCTTTTGGAAGAAGTTTAATCAGTATGTAAAAAACACGAGCGGCAACTGTCTCGATAACAAACTTGATTCAAAACAGGCCGACATGTTTAATGCGTATTTTGCGAATGTAGGCTCTAACATTGCAGCAGAACTCTTACCTCGCAGACAGGATGACACGTATGTCGATCCCCAGATACGTCCCCCTGTGGTGTGTGCCACAAGCTTTGAGCTTCAGCCCGCAACTCTACCTGAGCTGTCAACAGCGGTGCGTCTGATGAGCAATTCGAAAGCTGTCGGACTGGATGGAGTCCCCATCCTGGCCATTCGTCGTTGTTTTGCTGTGATCGGTCCGCTGCTCCTTCATATCATTAACACTTCAATATCAAGCGGCATATTTCCAGAAAAGTGGAAAATAGCGTGTGTAGTTCCTTTACATAAGAATGGTGATCACAGTCGCGCTAGCAACTATCGTCCAATTTCACTTCTGCCAGTCATGTCGAAAATCGCTGAGCGTGTCGTGTGCACCCAATTAACCCACTATCTCAAGGAAAATGACTTAATAGGTAACAGCCAGTACGCTTACCGCAAGGGCCATTCAACGGAAGACGCCATCCTCGAGACCATTGCCTGGACTACTGATCAAATCGATAAGGGCCACATTGCTTCAATAACAGCAATAGACCTGAGCAAAGCGTTCGACAGTGTCAATCATGAAATTCTTTTGATGAAACTAGCGTGGCATGGCGTCCCATCACACTGGTTCAAAAGTTATCTGAGCGGTCGTGGCCAAATGGTTCGAGGTGGTTCTGAGGTTCTTCCCGTGAAATTCGGTGTCCCACAAGGATCAATCCTGGGACCTGTTCTCTTCAGTCTAGTCACAGCTGACCTACCAAATTGTATACCTCATGGCCGCGTTATATGCTATGCAGATGACACTCAGCTTTTGGACAGCTCGCCGACAGACAGCGAAAGTCTCATCCAGTTCAAAAGGCGTTTGGAATCTTCAATGGCCTCAGTGCAGACATGGTTCACTACCAACTCGTTTAAAATGAACGTAGCCAAAACTGATTTCATTCTGATCGGCACATCATCAGCTTTGCAGAGAGTCTCTGATTTCAAACTTGACTTCTGTGAAAGTTCGCTTGAACCTTCAGACAACATTAAAGTATTGGGAGTGAAAATAGACCAAACGTTATCCTGGCAAAAACACGTTACAGAAGTTTTACGACGCTGCTACTCTATTCTATCGTCCCTAAACAGGTTCCGGCGTCACTTTTCTGCTGAGGCTCTTATTCTGATTATCCAGGCACACGTCTTTTCCCAGATATTGTACTGCTTGCCAGTTTGGGGTGGGGCCTGCAAAAACCAAATATCTCGCGTTCAGAAAGTAATAAATTTCGCAGCCCGTGTAGTAACCGGAACACGCCGCCATGAGCACATCACACCCACCCTAAGTGCGCTTCAGTGGCCAACAATTGAAGTGCTCATCAAGGAGCGTGATTGTTTAAAAGTATTTCGCGCTTTGAATAACTGCGACGCCCCCAAAGCTCTAAAAAGGATGTTTCACCAAAGATCAGACATAACCACTCGAGTGACCCGCCTGGCATGTACCAATCGGCTCCACCTTCCAAAAGTGCGTCTGTCATTACACAACGATCTTTCCCGTACCGAGCCGCAACTGAATGGAATCGACTTCCAATAGAAACTACACAAACAGCGTCAGAAAAAGAATTCAGGAAAAAACTTAGGTGCAAAAACGCGTGAACCATACCAGCTCACTTGCTCAGGGATCGTATCACGGATCGCGTATACTGTGTAATGTGTAGTGTGTACTCTGTGCCTTGCTGTGCGCCATGTAGTGTATGTTACCGTACGTTGCCGTGTACATCTGTGTGGAAATTTGTGTTTACATTACTGCCGTGTACAACTCTACCATGTTTAAAATGTCCTGAAAAACTGTGGGAACACGGACGGACATTTAATGTTAATACAATACAATAATACAATACAATGGACAAAAGGCGGAACGGCTTGGACCTTCCCTCAGGTGAGCTCTGGTGCTAATTAGAGCGGCGCTTATTCTAGCCTGAGCTAATGAGCACTCCGTATTTTATCTCAATTTAGCATGCCGGGGAGTGGATGCTAGTCGTCTGACAGCGTTGAAGAGCTGATATTGAAATTGCGTTTCGCTTTACAACGATCGGCTAAATTTTCGGTGTCGCCTCACCGTCTTTCTGTTTCCAAGCTCGGTGCAGCATGTATTACCACAGTTATGTGGCTCATTGAACAATTGTGTGCTGTGATACCTACACCCCGGGCGCGCATGACAGATATTGCATCTATATTATTTGCTTGGACTTTCCAAGTCAAAGTCTGACTGGTCCCGTCACTGATGACAAGTTGATGTTCGCGTCACATGCGAACTTTAAAGTCTCTGCTGCGTGCACAATATTCACGGCCCTCGTCAACCTCCGGTCTAGCAGCATGGTTTCGCGTTTTTTTTTTTTAGGGGCTCGTTTATGATTTAAGTACCTTGACCTATAGGTTGCACCAACCAAGCAAAACTAACTTCTGAGTTTTTTTAGCTGCATGGGACGGTCTGCTTCCGTCCCCGCCTACCGGTTTCTTTCCCCGTCTGTGCCGTGGACGGTTGCCGGCCGCATCAGCTGCTCATGCCTCGAGGCATTTATCGGCGTCTGGTGCCTGACCGGCACGGCCCGGACGCTAGTCCGGCCGACCTGCCCACTGGGCCCCCGGAGCATTGACCTACTGACCTCTCTCCCGCATGCACACAGTGGGCGATCCGGCCGGTGTAGCCTCGCGAAACCTATCGGCATTCATAACATCCATGTTTTTGAAGCTAGAACCACAATATTTAGGAGCAACCTTCTTGAATATCCAATGAGCATATGTTTTAAATAAGGACTATCTCTTATAGGATTTGTGCTCTGTGGCGAGCTTGCAATTTGCCTAATTGCTGCTCGAATAACGCATGAATACTTTTGAGGGTAGGTCGAAATTTTTGACGGTATGAGCTGGGTAGGACATTGAAATGGTGTGTACCTCCGTAGAAAATTGCTTCCAAACCATTTTTTTATTCAAACGATTATGCCCTACCAATTTATACTTATCATGAAACAGCGTAAATCTCGCCCGGCAAGGCCCCATTTCATAACGTGACCCAAGCAGCGGGTTTGGTTTTTGGTAAATAACTTCGCAAAAAATGGCCGCAGAACCACGATTTTGACATCGTCGTGTTCGCCTCGCTCAGGCGCGTCGAATGGTATACTTTTGTTCAGGTGAGGCCACCGTAAGGTCAACCTGACCTTGACCTCGAGTCAAGGTCAGGTCAGAGGTCTTCAAATCACGAAGTTGGTCGAAGGAGGTCATATCGCATATCATTCGATTCGGCAGGTCTTCCGGAGTCCATTGGTGACCTTGTCGACTCTCTAGCTCAACTTGATCGGGAGTTATTGACGAAAAACTCGTATGACCCTAGTGATGTCATAAATGACGTCATGCAAGGTCAACAATGCAAAAATGCAGCATCAGATCTTGCAAGGATTGCATGAAGTAACGATTCCATGTACTTGAGACAATTGAATATCATTCCTGGCGCCAAAATAACAGTTTTCATATTTCCCCATTGACTTATAGGTGAGGTCACGTGACCAACCTGACTTTATGTGGCATTTAGGAAAAATCTGAGATATACAAGTTGTAAGACCTCTGAAGGACAATAAGTCCTGCACGTCTCACCTCCCTGTGAAAGTTACTCTGGCACTGAGAGCGTTGCAAGGTTGCGACATCTGAGGATCGTGCAGAGGTTCATGTATGACGTCATAGGTCAGTGACCTGACCTGACTTGAAAGTGCGGTTGGTGTCACAAGATCCAGCGTGCATCAAAGGTCAGAGGTATGCCAGGTTGCAGCTCTCTATTGCCTGGGTGTTTTGAGCTATCGCGAAAACACCCTTTGGGGCATTTACCACTTGTGCTCAAGTGCACGAAGCCACGGCCAACCCTTAGAAGAAAAAAGTGTCTGGATGCCAGGGCTGCAAGTGGCTGCAAATTTTCACTGGCTCCCCTAATAGATAGTGTCTTAGTGCATGCGATACAGCATTATTTTCAGTTCATCCTCGTAAAACTTTTTTTTGCTGGGCTTGGTTAATTCAGTGAACGTAATGTTTAGTGGTAGAAAAAAATATAAAAAGTTAACCTAATTACCGACATTTTGAACTGATTTTGTCTACTTGCTTTCTATGGCGGAATCGTCTAAACATCTAAATTTCACTTTCCATGCAAAATGGATGCTCAACACCTAGCAATTTCATCGTTCCGCAAAATATTCAAAGAGCGTAAAAATCGGCTGTGATTATCCCCCTTATGAAGTGTTACCGAGCGCTGTCTTTAACGATACTTTTGTCTACGAAAAAATGTCTCCTGAGCCATGCAAATGCACTAATCGTAATCTTTGATGAATTTTCTGTTGACTAGTATGCGCTGTTTTCCAATTTTCGGAAAAAAAGTGTCTTTGAGGTTTCGCGAGGCTAGACCGGCCCGATCGCCTACACTGAGAAAAAAGTTGACTCTTCCCAGTAGTGGGGGAGAGTTGTCATTTTTGGTTCAGCCAAAACTCTCACTTTGCTCAAAACTCTAGCAAAACTCCACATTTACTCTTACTGTATTCTCCTAAAACTACTTGAATATTCTTTCGACTCTTAGTTAACTCTGTTGAAACCCTTTCAAAACTCCGGAATACTCTTGTGACTCTTAATAAATTCTTCCATGACACGCCCAGAACTCTGGAACAACCCTGGTGACTCCTACAAAATGCTTCGATGCTCTCTTTAAACTCCTTTGTAACCCTTCCAAAGATCCCTTTCCAGGCCCGACTCTTTAAAACTCTCACAAAACTCTACCCGTATCCTGCTAAAACTCTACCCAAACCACACTCGAACTCTTCTTTATTTCCAGCTAAATTCCCCAAAAGCGTTCTCAAAGACGTGCCTAAGAATCCGGAAGAAAACTCAAACAATTTTAAAGTTGAAATGTATTTATTTCCTGAGATTTCGTGTCGCGCGCACAGTCCGACACCAGCGGCGCCCGAACGGCCCGCGCTGTTCGCACCGGCCGGCCGCCAGCGAGCGAGCGAGCGAAGGGGCCGGCGGCGCGACGAAGAGCGCACTCCCGCCCGCCCCCGCCGTCCGCCAACACGGGAAGGCACCAGGAAACGATGGACAGAAAACAGAGAGCGGGAGAACAGCCGCACAAGAAGCCTACGAAACAAAAACGCGCTCTTCCGCTGCTCCAGCGCGCCCGACAGCCGGGCGGCCGGCGAACCACATGGACGTGCCTACGATAGCACATGGGCGCAGCTGCTGGCCGCCCCTTGCGACCGAGAAGCCTTCAAGGCTTCAGCGCACCATATCCTGGATGGCCTTGGCCACGTTTCGGTCCACCGCCTTTTCCACAGGTAGGTCTAGGATATAGCACCGCATGAACCAGCATGTGTTTTTCTGCAGCCGGCCGGTTTTTTGATGAAAGATGAAGAAGGCACACGCCCACAGGGTGAGGGCGTCGACCAGGCTGCCCGCCTCTCCGATGCTGAAGCCCTCCACCCAGACAGTGTACCGTGGCTCCTCCTCTTCATCGTCTTCCTTCTTCACGTGGGGGCGTCGGGGCGCGTCCTCGGGGAGAACATGCTCATACTCCCCCAAGACGCGCAACAGAGTCTCCGCAGCGCTGTCTGAAACACAGAGTCGGTGGTTATAGCAAAAAGATAATGATTGCTAAATAGCGGACATGGGGTTGGATCCCGTGATCTACACCTTTTTACACTCAACTTAAAATAAGTCACATTCAAATTAAAAAAGGTCAAATTCAAATTAAAAAAGGTCACAATCAAATTAAAAAAGATCACACTCAAATTAAAAAAGGTCACATACAAATTAAAAAAGATCACACTCAAATTAAAAAAGCTCACATTTGATTTAAAAAAGGTCACATTCAAATTAAAAAAGGTAACATTCAAATTAAAACTGTATTTCGTTTACCCTTTTCCAGCCATATATTTTGGCAACCGCTTGGCCGATTCATCAGCGGTCTGGAGCATCAGATAGCCCAATCATTTTAAAAACTGAATGACTGTTTTGATGTATCCGGGTAACCGTCCCGGCGCGTGGCTCTCTCTCTCAAATGCCAAATCAGGAGCGTTTAAATGGCTTCGCTCACAAGTCACATATCTTTGCAAGGATTGGAACGTTTATTATGAAACTCATGGCTTGTATAACTATTCTATTTTACTTACCTATATGGGTTCCATGCGGCAATAAATTATCATGTGTCACGGTCGGGGTGCTGTTGCACGTGCGCATGTGTGGGACCCGCTTATGTATCTCGAGAACAACAAGGCCGATTGCACTCAGAGATGTTACACAGATGGGGACCGGCTGTCTGGGTGACTATCATGTCAGTTGCTGTCTCATTTTGCACATGCGCACGTGTTGAGACGAATTTTGCATATCAAGAACGGTTAGGCCGATGGGACTCAAAGCTCGTATGCCGCTAGGGACAGCTATTTGGGTATCCCCTATCCCGTTGTCAGTTAGGGCCTCACTTTGCATATGCGCACGTGCACGCGCAGAGCACTACATATACCTATCAGCCTCCAAACACCCACAGGGCTACATGGACACACATCGAGTACATATAAGTTAAGTGTACCGTGGATACTTAGATTACTCTGCGCATGTGCTGATCCTAACTGAAATCAACGGGATACCCAAATAGCCTGTCCCTAGCGGCATATGAACTTTGAATCCCATCGGCCTAACCGTTCTTGATATGCAAAATTCGTCTCAACACGTGCGCATGTGCAAATTGAGACAGCAACTGACTTGCTAAAATCACCCAGACAGCCGGTCCCCATCTGTGTAACAGCTCTGAGTGCAATCGGCCTTGTTGTTCTCGAGATACATAAGCGGGTCCCGCACATGCGCACGTGCAACAGCACCCCGTCTGTGACACATGATAATTTATTGCCACATGGAACCCATATAGGTAAGTAAAATAGAATAGTTATACAAGCCATGAGTTTCATAATAATCGTTCCAATCCTTGCAAAGATATGTTCTTGTGAGCGAAGCCATTTAAACGCTCCTGATTTGGCATTTGAGAGAGAGAGCCACGCGCCGGGACGGTTACCCGGATACATCAAAACAGCTATTCAGTTTTTAAAATGATTGGGCTATCCAATGATCAGCTCCAGACCGCTGATGAATCGGCCAAGCGGTTGCCAAAATATATGGCTGGAAAAGGGTAAACGAAATACAGTTTTAATTTGAATGTGACCTTTTTTAATTTGAATGTGACCTTTTTTAAATCGAATGTGAGCTTTTTTAATTTGAATGTGGTCTTTTTTAATTTGTATGTGATCTTTTTTAATTTGAGTGTGATCTTTTTTAATTTGATTGTGACCTTTTTTAATTTGAATTTGACCTTTTTTAATTTGAGTGTGACTTATTTTAAGTTGAGTGTAAAAAGGTGTAGATCCGTGACCTCGTCCCAAGGATCTGACTCTTGGGAATGAGACTGGATGTTTCTTGGGGCAGGGGTTGAGAATGGTGGTGGTGGTGGAGGGGGGGGGGGATGCCGTGCGTATCAGCAAATCATTGAAGCGTAGGGCTAGGCAGTGCGTACCCTGCGAGAAGCAAAGAGTGTCATCGATGACTTAACTGTATGAAATGATAGGAACCAGCGAAATGAAGATCACGTTAGTATCTCACTTTCTTCGCAAATACGCGTATATTAAATTAGTTTATAACGTTGCGCTCATGCAGTAATTTTTACTGTATACTGTCAAACGCTCAGCAAAGATAGTATATTCCAAGGTATATTCCTCACCATCGTTGCAAGCATGCATTTTGTTGCAGGCAGCGGCAAGGAAGGGAGCCATCTTCTCCCGACACGCTCGCAGGCACTCGCTTCGGGACTCGGTGGAGCTCCGAAGTCTTAGGTACTCTTCGATGCACTGGAAATGGATACACAGGAAACAAGGATGAATGGAAATGATTATAGGAAATTAATTAAGGTTACCAAGAACTAAATCGGTAAAAGGGTGTTGTCGTCAACATACATCACGTTTCGTCGGAGGGTCACTATATACTCAAAAGACGTGGTATGCACCATTCGAACGGCGACGACGAGACGATTTCAAAAATGTAAAGCTCATGAGAATCGGTGGACTTAAAAAAAGAGATTTTGTTATCGACTTGAACTACTTTACGTCAGAGGCCTTTTCGACTCCTTATATTCATCAAAGGCATGAATATACGGATTTTGCCGATAACTCAAAAACGGCGTACGATATCGTCACGAAACTTGCAGTACCTTTTTTACAACAATTTTACACATCGTGTGCAAATTTTAGCCAAATCCGACGGAAATTTTTCGAAAAAATCACGGTTTTGTGACGTCACTACACGCGATTTTCGTCCAAAATCAGCCCAATGTTCAAGCAGCTTCTACGCGTTCAATTTTAAAGCGATTTCAAGTTTGCAAACGTCAAAACATGCAAAATGTTAACGTCTACAAAATGGCTATCTCGATTTTTCAAAATTTTGAGTTTTTGACCCCCAAATTTGGAAAAAACAAAATTTTCGGGAGATTACATATAAAATCCAGAATTTTCAAAATTTTCAAAAAACCGAACTATATGTGTGAGAAGTAGGTGTGGACTATACACATTCCAAATTTCAAGTCAATCGGTCAAAAAATGGCATTGGGATCGTCCAAAAACTTAGTGAATGTCCCTCACAAAAAGTTTGAAATTTGATTTTTGGAAAAACTATACAACTTAGGGGAATACAATGGCACCAAAATGTTCCCCGTAAAATTCTGCATCCAATAGACCCTTTTTTGGTGAAAATCAAAAATTTTAAAATTTGACTTTTTGACCTTGATTTTTTGGCTTTTTTTTAAACCGCACAACTTAGGAAAGTAAAAATTGCACCAAAATGTTCCCCGTAAAATTCTGCATCGAATAGACCCCTTTTTTGGTGAAAATGAAAATTTTGAAAATTTGACCTCGTTTGACCTTGACCTTATCTGAATTCTTAGTTTCACTTCAATTGTAGTGGAGTGGACTTTTAGGGGCAATATCTGTTGAAACTGCTTACTTGGAAGCTTTTGGATAGAAAATATGGGCCGCCCAAGCAAAAATCATGATTTGACCTTAAATGTGACCTTGACCTGACATTTGACCTTTTAAAGCAAATGTTAAGCACTCATCAGCACCTTCTCATTGCGAGCTTTCGATTGCCCCCTTCCGTTTGCTTCTACGGCCATTCGTTTTTGAGTTAGCAGGGGGGGGGTAAATATTACCCCCCCCCCCCCAGCGCCGCGCGTTCGGCTGGAGACCCCAGCGCCGCGCGGGTTAACGTGTCTTCATTTTGTGATAACTTGACGCGGTACCGATGATGCCGTCGAAAGCCACGATTTTTTAAAGAAAAAAGTTGCATTTGGGTATTATCGGACATCGACAGGGTAATATCGACGGGGCATTCAAACATTGCCTGGGGTGGTAAAAGCATGTTCTTATCGTCTAATCTGCTCCCCAGACTTTTCTGCTCTATCATCGTGCCTTCCGAGAAGTTTAATGTGACCCGCGCCTTACTCTGGATATTTTGACATTAACATGTGTTTTTCCATAGGGCTAATATCGGACACTTGTAGCAACATGGAAATGGGGTGGCTATAGAGCAACAGAAATGTCACGTGTCATCAGTGACAACAAAAATCAACAGATAAATGTTCATTTTAACGGAGAAGTGCCACTTCATATGCAGGACCACTGGTAACATGTGAAAACTTGATATCCATTCAGGAAATTGTTACCAGCGGAAATTGGCAAAACTGGAAACATTTATCATTGCTTACCACGTGACCCAAGGTGGCCCGTGGATGTAAAAATGGAACTTACGCGCTGCCTTTTATCAAAATAAAATATTTCCTTGGACAATGAGGACCCGGTTTAGAAAAAAAACATGGTGTCCGGAATTACCTGCTGGCCGATATTACCCAAAGTTCCCCTACTCTTGTCAGAGTGAACACAAACATTATCATCGCGCGTAATTGTCACGAATGTCGATAATTCTTCGCTTGGCCGGCTTGGACCAGGCCTGGGCCGCCCCTACCGGCTCACCGACCTCACGCGTCCGGCCCGGCCGAGGGTCTCGTATGGTGACGCCGGAAGATAGCGTTGTATGTGAAGCATATCGCTCTCAGGTTCTCATAAGATCAGAAAAAAATAACATCTCTGCTTTAATCGCATCATGTTCAAATTTGCATTTGTTCTAAGCAATCTTGCCATTCCTCACGCCCGTATTTATGAAGTGCACTGGGGAATGCTGTCGGAGACTGTATCTACCGTATATGGCGCCTGGGTCCGATCTTATCAAGTGGCGTGAATCGGATTGGTCGCACTGGCCGAGCTTTACTTGCAGTTAATCGGTAGCAAATATTATAGCTTTGTGTACGAGCGCGACAAAATTCACAGAGTGTCCGAGACGAAGTCGAGGTCACAAAGTGTGAATTTTGAAGCGCGAGTACACAAAACGATTTATTTTACAGCTGCGGCCATTGAACCAGACAAAAATTAATTCGTTTGTGGCCGGTTGAATGACCCTGAGATAGAGTTTCACATACAAAACGTCATGGTCATGGTCATGTGACGTCAGAGGAAAAAGTTTTTTTCATATCAGAAAAATCACCATTTTCGAACAAGAACGCGGTGGTGTCCTGCGGACACTGTCCGCAAAATTGTAAAAAAATAATTGTCAAACAGTTCAAACGCTCCGTGCGGTAATTTTTCTCAAGAATTTCCATTTTAATTGTAACATTCATAATAAGCGGCCAGAAATGCATCTGAAACTCACCAGAAATGAAACACTTTCGGTATGTTAAAAACGTAGCCAAACGGATCACCAGGGCTGTGCTTGACTTATGAGTCATGAGTCAAATTTGACTCAGGCAGCCAAACTTGGGATTTGAATTCAGTCAGAGTAGAGTCAATGAGGAAAATGAAGCCTTGGGTTGAGTCAGAGTTGAATCGCCTGGATTGTCACATGAGTCAGAGGCCATGGTCAGAGGCAAGTCAGTCCAAAAATATGAGTCAAGCACAACTCTGCGGGCCACCCTAGCACTATCCAACTATTTGTTCCAAACTGGGACACGATAGCAATTCGATGAGAATGCTGATCATGAGGGTCATGAAAAAAATTCTCAATAATTTTTTTTCAGTCAATAGCCCTCACCTGTTCAAACGTGAATAGCGCCGGGAACCGGCGCTTCAAAGCCGCCATGGTCATGCCGCGCCGTCCTTTCGTCCCCAGCAGTTCCTGTCTGCGGCGAGGGAACGTGCTGATCATCAGCTCATGAGTGTCAGCATTCTTGTCAAACTTCATTAGATTGATCAGCCCCTCATCAGTCGTTGCAGTGTTGACCACCGGTAGGTTGTAGTTAGGCAGTTTCGCCACCGTTACTTGGCGATACTGCTGTCGCTTCTTTGAGCGCTCTTCCCGGAACTCGACGACCGACGGGCTGACGGAGCGCTTACGCATATTCCTGAATTTGATGTTAAGCTTTCGCGTTAGCTGCATCTGCAAGGAAAAAAATTTGTTCGAAATCTGCAATAAACAAGCAGATTCTTCTGATACAGTTGGGGAGGGAGGGGGAAAGAGGAGAGGGATGGGGAGGAAAGAGAATATGGAAGGGAAGAGGGAGAAAGAAGAAAGGGAATTGGCAACTGTAGCAAGAACTTTACTTTAACAAGAATTAAACAACTTTAACAAGAATCCACTTTTCATTATTTTTCACTCCGACGTCATATTTTCAATCAACCAATTAAGGTTTCGTGACAGTCGACTACCACTTACGTCACAGCTTGCCTTGCGAAAACCCCTTGAGAAATTCTAAAAACTTTTCTCCGGGATCCTGCATTGAAATGCATAGAAAAAGTAGAGGAATAATTCTCAAATTATCACACATATTTTACATTACAAATAATGAATGAAAACGGTATCCAGAATGCATCTGGAATGCGTCAGTGAAATAAATTCAAGGTTCAACATATTTAGCAGGTGAAATGTGTACGAATGTTTTGGTCACTTATGCAACGAATCTAGCGATATAGGGAATATTAAAACAAGCACTAATAAGCACCACTTTCCCGCTAGATTTGAGCTTTAAATGCTTCTTATATTCATGTCGGGGCTTCTTGTGAACAAACCGTGGTGGTTTTCCGGGGTTTTCGAACCTTGGCGTCACAACTGCTATCTCAGTTTGATTTCTCATTTCTCATGTTAAAGGTGGGACGTTTCCTTTAAAGCCTTTCGCGATACACTAACTGTTAAGAAAGCAACAAAGAAGTGAATAATGGTACAAGTGTATTAAAGTAAATATTTACCATGTATTCAATTTGTGAAAGATTATACATACTTTTTCAAATAATGTACTTATTATGTTTTCTACAACTGAAGATGCTGTTTAATGTATGTACCAGACATGTGCTTGGATCCGGAAAAATGGATCTGAGATCTGATCCCATGGATCCCGATCCGAGATCCATTCAGATCATAGATCCAACCCCTCAATTTTGTCGAGAGATCTACTGGGATCATAGATCTGACCCTTCAATTTTGTCGCTAGATCCACTCGGATCATAGATCTGGCTCCCCAATTTTGTCGTGAGATCCATTGGGATCATAGCTCATAGGTGCTCTAAAATGTTAACAACTTTCTTTCATAAAAAGTTATGAATACCAAAGTATGGCTAGAAACAAACAATCTTATACAAAGGCCATATTAGTAAAGGCATCCAGTTACATTATGCAGAATACAAAATAAAGGAGGCTCATGACGGTCACAACTTGAGAGAATTGAGTGACATGAAGATTGTTCACATACCAACAGAAAAGTTTGCATTAACAATTAACATAGAGGTAAGTCAAAGTAATGACTAATGAACAATACATTACTAGGCACCTACCACATCACAATTCATGTTAGAATCTACATAATGATATTGATAAGACAATCTTGCATTAGACAACCATGAGGCTTTCCAGTTTACGGCTAACACAATTGATTGATAAACAATAAAAGATGATACTGACACATGTGGCTTGGTTAGGTAAAGGTATTTCAATCTATTGAAAGAAATATTTGATAAAATAAACTGAGATATAAACAAAAGTATAAAAATATTCAACAGCCTGCGGAAGCGATGGGAAGCGAAATATCAATTGTAATGGCCTTGGATATTTACCGTAAAATTATTATTCAGTATCTAAATAGAACTCGTGACGTCATTTCAAATAACAAATGAGCTTAGCGTTCTACCTTCGAGTATAATGAAAATAAATAAAAAATCAAACTGGAAATGCAAAAGTCTGGAGTTTTTTTCAAAAGGATGTTCAGTTTTTTTCTGCCTCACATGATTTTACGATACGATTGTTTGTGAATATCATCTTTGTAGCGTTGAATTTAATGACGTAAACGTAAGCTGAAACGGTATTACATGGCCCTGAGCCGGGTGTGCGCCTTGCATCTTTATTTTATTCACTTTTCAAAAGAATCACAATATCTTACGTCATTAGTTTGAAGGGCCTATTACGGGGAATCTTTTGGAATCATTACGGATTTAGTCAAATTGAGATTTTTCATTGGTCAAACGATAATGACGTAATAAAACAATATTACCAAAACGTGAGCTGTGAATTTCGTTTGTCTTTTTTTGGGAGGTTCTCTCATAACGAAAGCACAGCATGGCACCACACGTGGCACGATGCCAAAAGTAGGTAATCTGAAGAAGTTGATGCCATTTTTGAACTTGTATTTTTATTAGGAAAGTATTAGAGGTTGGTTGCTATTCTTACTAAATCGAAATTGTGTTGCACATACTAATAGCTCATACGAACATTCTGGATTCGGATTTCATACCTGGCAGAAGTGGATTGCTGGATTATTTTTAACAAAACTGACCTATTTGGCTTCCAGGTTTGATTTCCTTACATCTGTCCATAGGCGGCGGAACAGGGGGGGGGGGGGGCACCAGGGTACAGTGCCCCCCATATATTTTGACATTTTAACATTAGCCCTACTGGCGTTGCATGGAAAAAATGGGACCAAAATGAAAATCTGCAGTGCCCCGCTGCCACTGCATCTGTCTGTACTGTTTGTTCATTGAATTAAAGTGGCTGTAGCTTGTTGATAAGATTGCTGTTATGAAAAAGTAACAATTGGTCAAAAAAAGTAACAATGTGCATGTTCTTGGTTTATTTTAAATGTAGTACAAATGTTGTTGATTTAAATTCAAATTTCATGATGATACCTAATGATTACAACTGGTCTTAACCATGTCCACAAGTGACAATTCTCAATTGTATTGCACTGTTAGGTGTACAATTATGTAGGATAAGGGTTTCATTGGCTACATGTTGTCGTGAGATCCATACAAATCATAGGTCCTCCACAATTTTTTGCCCGCTGGATCCACAGAGATCATAGATCCGACTCCTAAATTTTGTCGAGAGATCCATTCGGATCATAGATCCAACCCCTGAATTTTGTCGAGAGATCCACTCGGAGCATAGATCCAACCCCTCTATTTTGTCGAGAGATCCACTGAGATCATAGATCCAGCTCTCGGATCCATGCACATGTCTGGTATGTACTATGTACCCAGTCAGTCTCTCAACAAAATTCATGCCTGGATCTCTTGACAAAATCAATGCCTGGATTTCTGATCCCAGTGTATATCTTGACAAAATGCTTGGGTCGGATCTATGATCTCTTATGATCCCGGATCCAAACCCCTGGGATCAGATCAAAGATCATGATCCCGGGATCATCTCCCATGTCTGGTTGGAAAATCTGAGGACCAGTTTCCAGCATGGGTGTCAGCATGGTCCGATGGGCAATGACTGGAGGGGACAATCATGGTCCATTTCAAGACCATTCTTTCCATGCAATGCTAATAGGCATTATGTTCAAAATGAAAAGCAGGGCAAAATGTTCTCTGCATTACAAGTCATGCTGACGACCCCGGTTTTGGGTAGGAACAGTCATACGGGGTGACTCCGATTTTCAAGGTGACTGATACAGGGTCGTGAGGTGAAGTGTAGAATGTAGATGGTTGTTGTCAGTGTCCCAAAATTGCACTTTGGCTTTGTGTCAGAGTGGAAAATTTGAGCCCGAAAAGGCCAATGAGAGTGGAAAATGGGAAGCAAAACGTGGGACCTGAATTTGATAAATGAGGGAAAAACTTAACGAATTCAGTGCGAATTCAGTGCTACGGCACTGGGCTTGGGTGTTATTTCACTCACTTATGCGAAAATACCATTTGGGAGTGAGAAAATCACTTCGAAACTCATATGCAAGAGTGGAAAATAATTCGCCATTGGGTGTCGTCTCCCACCCAAATCAACATATTTTGGGACACTGGTTGTTGTCCATCTCAGTTGGTGAAACTATGGCCATCTGTTTTATTTTTGGAAGCTTCTATTTTTAGGTACGCTCTTCCAAAAATGAAAAGGCATTTTCCAAATATAGGGACGCTTCTTCTATTAATAGGGAGGGAAATGACATTTTCCAATAAAACCAGACCTTCGCCAATATTAAATCAATTTTGCCCATTGCAACTTACCTTATTGATAAAGCATTTGTTACTTATCAAGAATTAAATCACCTAAACTACAAATAAAATCACCTGTTTTGCTACGCGTCAATCACCCTGGTCATGCGGCCAGTTAGTCGCCCATGGCAGCATTGAAAGTGCCCAGATGGTCCAAATGTAGGTACCTACCTAAATTCCATTATTTATTATTCTTCTTATTTATTATTCCATTAATTATATTCCAACTAGAAATGTCGGCCGCTAACGTTGATCTTCTGTGAAGTCACAAATTGTGACGTAGTGGCTTTGTGACGTATAGTTTACAATATCTGTGCACTAGGTACCTATCTAGCCGAAGTGAGCCGAAGTTCACTTCACACTGTTTTTTAGGGACCACTCAAGAAGCTTTCAAAATTCAGTCAGGCGCACTGTGGTAATTCCGTCCATTTATAGAAACGTTGCTATATTTGGAAACGATGATCCATATATAGAAACGCTTGTTCCAAATATGGAAAGGCTACGTTTCTATATTTGGAAACGGTAGGTGCACGCTCACCTGTTTGACAGCGAGCGCAAGCCCCTGCAAAAAAGCGCATTAAGTGGTTACCACCAATGGAAAGCCAGCATTCTGTTCTAAAAATTCAATAATGGCCTACGGTGATTCAATGTTGGCCTTGGAAATGCGACGAAGTTTTCTGTATAAATGGTGAAGAGGATGGACTGAAACAGTCTATATAATTTGAGAGAATGAATAAGAGAAAAACTTTCATTAAGGTTTCCCTTCAAATATGACGTCCAGAACCTGATTTGGGCTGATTTTTGGCAGAATATTGGCTAATTTGGGCTAAATAGATGTTTTAAGTTTTGGCGAAATTGACGTGTCATTTTCACCTGAGTGCTTCCTTGTTGCCACTAGATGACATTCCACCATCTAGAAAGTTATATAACGCATCTTGCTTTAAAATAAATCGTCCGGAATGATCGGTGCTTCTGAGCGTTTCCATTTATGGAACGCAGCGTTTCTATATTTGGAAACGTTTCCAAATATAGCAACGTTTCTATAAATGGACCAGAATTACCACAGTGCGCCTGACTGAAATGGAAGAGATGACCACAGTTTCACCAACTGATCTAAAATCAATGTCCAAATTAAAATTGATTAGAACCACATTTGAGAAGCACCACTCACTA